GGGTCCCAGCAGCAGTGGGTGCTGGACTCTTCTCCCTACCCATTTTGTCAGAGTTATTTTTAGTAAAACTCAGGGACAGGTCACAGGCTTCTGTGAATTTGTTTATTACCCGTGACCTGTCCATGACTTTTACTAAAAATATCCATGACAAAACTTTAACCTTAATAATGTCTACCAGAAACAACTTCCCATTAGGGAATGTTTAAAGGGATTGGACAAAGGAAGCATGAATAGAAGGGTTTGACAAACAGATGAATGTTCACCAGCAGAACTGTAGACTTTAGTGAAGATGGCAGATACTTAACTTTTCAGAAAGCTAGATATTAAGGAAGCTAGCAGACACTTTGCTCACCCAGCCTGGAGAGGCCTAAGACCAACAATTTGCAGGCTCAACACTAAAAAAAAAAAAAAAAAAAAAAAAAAAGTGAAAATACACCAGATTCTTATATTACTTAAAATACAAGAGTATTCAAGATGTCAGAAACTACTTTTTAAAGAGCCATCAGCTTTCTGCAAGCAAGACCCCAACACTAAGGGGGGGAGGGAGAAAGGAATCAAGTATGAGTCATCTTGTGGGAAAGAATGCCTTTGACCTTCACACACCTTCAATAGGTCCTTCACAGCTACTTCTGAGGGTGGCTGCTCACTGTCTTTGAAGTCTTCCAAATTAGGAGAAGAGAAGCATAGACAGACGGTTTACCATATTCACAGATTGTGATGAACACTGAGTTTTAGAGCTGGGTTTTGGTTTCACTGACCTGGAAATTTTGTGGTTGCAGCTAGATACACAAGTCTGGAAGTCAGGATTTGGAGACCATTCAAATCGAGATTGTTGCATGGGGCATCCATTTTTCTGAATGGGTTTAGATCTTTTGCAAACAATATGCCTAAAAAATTAAGAAGTCTAAGATGACTCGTTTTCCCAGGAGCCAGAGTTGTTTATCTGACCCGTTCTCAGACTGGTTCAAAACGAAGAGAAACAAACCTTCTTGGTTGGGTCAGTTCCAGATTATCCATTGGTAGCCAGAGCCAAGACATGAAATTTTCAGAGTCAGGGAACAGATTTGGCCCAGGAAATCAGATCTTTGCAGAAATCCAGGTCACCCAGAGACATGCAGTTCTAGACCCAATACCGATGTCGATTTAGAAGATACAAAGTCAAGTTCCAAGTTCGCCAATTCTCTCAACAGAAAGGCTTCTCTTGTCCTGGTCTGTGATCACATGGAGATAAGCGAATCTCAAGGAAGAGATCAGAACTTTTCTCTTTGACTCAACATTAGCCTCAAGATCCCAGAGATCAGCAAGGTTTCTTAAGATTGTGGTTTCTTAATGAAGATAGTTTGCCAAGAGAAGATCTGGGATCGCATATATGCTCTCTTGCCTGCAGAGTGCTATTACCACAGCAAATTCTGAAGGTCCAAGAGTTCATGTTAGCCCAAACAATAGGAATTGACTGAAAAATAAGGTTGCCAGTCGCAAGCCTGAACAATCTCATGAACCAGGCAATGAGATGTCATCTCTGACACTGAAGCACGTGAATTACCTTTACTGATAGCCATTTGAGCAACCTACAAGCATCTGATATTTTAGGTACTTTTTTGGCCACTTCAGGTCCAACCACCATCTTACCTTCTCAATCTTTTGATAACAATTAAGTACCCAAATAACCTATTTTTTTGTGTGTTTTTACCCTATACTATACAGGAGACTAGCGTTTCTCAAATAAGGGATCCTGAGCCAAAAGGGAGTTGCAGGGGGTCACAAGGTTATTTTAGGGGGCTCGCAGTATTGCCACCCTCACTTCTGCACTGACTTCAGAGCTGGGCAGCCAGAGAGCAGCAGCTGTTGGCTGGGTGCCCAGCTCTAAAGGCAGTGCCTCTGCCAGCAGCAGGGCATAAGTAAGGGTAGCAGTACCGCAACCCCCCCGACAATAACCTTGAACCCCCCCACAACTCCTTTTTGGGTCAGGACCCCTACAATTACAACACAATGAAATTTCAGATGTAAATAGCTGAAATTTACAATTTTTAAAAACGTATGACCATGAAATTGACCAAAATGGACCCTGAATTTGGTAGGGCCTTACATATATGGGATGACTGCACTTATGGACTGCAAATCAGTGTGGAAGGGTTACATTGAGGAATCTGTACCATTATACTGGACTGCCCCTAGGTACTGTATTAGGAATCATTAACTGTTAGAAGTAGTTGTCTGGGGTATTTGCAGCTTTTATTTCTAGCAGCACTAATAAAGTAAAATGGAGAATTCTTGCTGTAGTCCTGGACAGAATCCAAAGCTCTGATCAACTGTATTCAGTATTGTACAGCCCCATTCTCTGTTCAATCATGCAACTCCCCCATCATTTCTTCAAAATCATAGTTAATGACTCACCATGTGTTCACAAAGTTTTAATTTGTGAACAGCAAGTTGTTACCATGACTAAGATCAGATGAACAGTTAAAAATCAATTTATGAAAGAGTAAATCCTAAGGTGCTCTTTTACAACTGTGTTTGCAATAACATTAGGTATAATAGATTAAGAACTGTGGGAGACATGTTAAGAAGTGAAGACTACGGTTGCAAGAAAGAATGTTAAATAGCTGTCTCAAAAAATATGAAGTCCAGTCCAAAAACATACTGATCAAGACAATCTATTATCCTTCCCTTCTATGATTATGAGAAAAATAATACTTTGTCATGTCAAAATAACTCACCCTGTGAAAGTAAATTTTTTACAGAGGATTTTTAGATAGTATAAGGAATTCAGAGTTTGAAATTAAAGAAATCACCAGTGTACAGGAATACCAGGTACAAGTTATCCCTGACCTAACTGTAAAGTCAGTCAGATCATTAATGACTATAAGAAACAAAATTGGTTAGACACTCACTAACTAGAGCAGTGGTCACCAACTTGTCAATCGTGATTGACTGGTCGATCCTAGAGGGTCTCCCAGTCGATCGTGATCTCTGGCAGCATAGTGTGGCTGCAGCTAAGGCAGACTCCCTGCCTACATGGCCCCACACCGCTCCCGGAAGTGGCCAACTCAGCCCCAAGGGTGCGGGAGCAGGGGTCTCCCTCTGTGTGCTGCTCCCACACTGGCCTGAGAGCTGCAGGAGCAGTGTTTGCCGAGAGGGGCAGTGCGGAGCCATATGCCCCCCACCCCTGCCAGGGGCCGCAGGGGCACGTTGGCCCCTTCCGGGAATGGTTTGGGGCCAGGGTAGACAGGGAGCCTGCCTTAGCCTCGCTGCGCCCACCGGTAGATGCTGGAGGTAAGTGCTGCCCGGCGGGAAGCTGCATCCTAACCTTCATCCCTGAGCCCCCTCCCGGAGCCAGCACCCCATACTCCCCTCGCACCCTGAAACCCACCCTGAGCTCCGTCGCAGAGCCAGCACCCCAAGCCCCAGCCCTGACCCCCCTTCCAGAGCCCACACCCTACACCCCAACACTGTGCCAGCCCAGAGCCCCCTCCTGCACCCAAACTCCCTCCTAGAGCTTGCACCCCTCACCCCTCCTGCACCCCAACCCCCTTCCCCAGGCTCAGCCCAGAGCCCCCTCCCACACTGCAAACCCCTCATCCCCAGCCCAGCACTCACACCCCCTCCTGAACACCAACCTGCTGAAAGTGAGTGAGGGTGGGGGAGAGCGAGCCACAGGGGGGAGGGGGGGGTGTGGAGTGGGCAGGGCCTCTGGAAAGGAGTGAGGTAGATCCTGGGTTGCCCTTATATTCAAAAAGTGATCTTGGGCATAAAAAGGTTGGAGACCACTGAACTAGTGGATGAAATCTATTAGCCAGAAAACAAAAAGCTCCCTCACCAGCAAAATCTACCCGATAGTCTACATTGAAAAGTTTAGCAGTTATACTAATATAGTTAGACATATGTAACGCTTCATGTGCACACTCTTACTCAAGTTCTTTTGTTAATTTCTTTTAGTTTAGCTAAAACATCTATCCAAGCAATATGAACTAAACAGGAAAAAAAATATATACTCAATAAAATAAGAATATCTGGGGTGTGAAATATACTAATATAACTATGTTGATTTAAATTCACACTTCAGGTTATACCCAAACAAACAAAAACTGTTCTATGAAGACCACACTTAACTTTAATATCTGTCTGAGAGATCCTGCCCACACTTAACAGCTGGGAAACAGTAGATGCTGTGGTCCTTAAAAAAGCATCCTTAACCCAGCTGAGAGATTCTCACTTTCACTATCAAATGGTGGCTATCAAGAGTGCTCTATCTGAACTCCTTCTTAATTATCCATTATGCAGCCTTCTAGGTACCACTTTTGATTTTTTTAATTTTCCATGAACAGCCAGCAGCTCCTGAACCCTTCTGTGTTAGTAGATCAGAAGCACTGTATTTAGTTTGTGACAGCAAACCCAGTTTACAGGAGCCCAGAGGTCCCCAACAAACAAAATGTCCTTCGACACATACAATATGAATTTAAAGGAATACTGGCAACGTCAATCGTTGTTTTGAGCCAGTTCTCTCTCTTCCCCCAGTCGACAAGCCCGAGCTGTCACCACTGACCATCCACTCGCTCAGGTGAGCACTCAGCATGCTGAAAAGAAAGCCCCATCCAGTCCCGCCTCTAACAAGTACAACTTTCCAGACCCTCTCTCTGGGCGGTCAGCTTCCCCTCTCCCTGCAGGCCTCGCACGGCACTTGAGGAGACAGAACTATATGAAGCTGGGAAAGTGAATTTGGCAGGAGACGGAAGAGAAAGCACAGCGCCCGGATATTTGTGATTTTAAAACTGACTCGAGCCCACCTTTCCTCCTGGGCCGGGTCGGGAGGAAAGGCAGCCACTGGGCCCCCGGGGCCAGGGAGGGGCAGCACCGCCAGCCTTAGGTGGCCAGCGTGGGACACACCCAGGGGCCCTGGGGCTGACTTGACCGGGCAAGGCCGGGATTTGCTTCCTGCCCCGCTGACTAGGGCAGCAGCAGGAGCCAGTTACACTAGCCGCTGCTGGTCGCCTCACACTTACAAATTTGGGTTTCCTGCCGTCCACAGCCGCGTCCTCCGGGCCGGCCCCGCTCCCCGCCCCGGGGGGCACCTTCCTGCGAAGCAGCTTGTTCTCTCGGCCGCCCCGGGCAGGCGGCGGCGACGAGTCGCTGTAGCGCTGCTGCGGCAGCCGCGGCTCCATGGCCCGCGTTGGTCTTTTTCCCGGGCAGGTGGGTCACTGACTCGCCCAGGCCGGCGGATCCGGGGCGCTCCCCTGCTGGCGCCGCTGGCCTCGGCCGCGCCCGGCGCGTGTCTGTAATTAGAGCGGCTTAGCTGGGCGGCGCGGGGGGGCTCAGGGTAAAGCCGCCGCCTCGGCCCGGCAGGGGATTTAGCCGGGAAGCTCCTCTAATCCCGGCCGCCTCCGGCTGCTCGCTCTGCCCCAGCAGCCGCGCTAAATGCTCGGATGCGGAGAAGGAAAATCCGGCTGTGCAGCAAACGGCTTCTCCAGCGCGGCTCTCCGCGCCGCAGGACACTCTGCCGCGTCCGAATAGTCCCGCCACTGGCAGTCCCGCCCCCTAGCTCCCGAACTAACCAATCAGGAACTGCGGGCGTGCATGTCTGTTTTATCATTGGTCGGACCTTCTGTCAATCCCTGCCAATCAGCTGTTTGCCCGGCGAGGCTGAACCAGCGGTGTTCTTCGAACCACAGGGGCAGCCCCAGCCGGACTACATATCCCGAAAAGCAACGCGGCGATAACCACGCGGGGAATAGTTAGCATGGCATGCTGGGAACTGTAGTCGCCTTTGGGTGGAGTGTCTCCCAGCTACGCACGGAGGGATTGGTGTACCCAGCAGAACTTGGGGCGGGAAACCAGAGCTAGGCGCTCTTATTCCTGGGGGGCTGTCAGCTCACGGGCGAGTCATGCTGACGTTATGACAAAGAGAGAGAACTGAGGTGTGTGTGAAGTGAAGCTAAATATGTGTCCACACGCACTGTCAACATAGGAATCAGTATAGAGAAAAACTAGCAGCTCCATTTCACTCCAGTTGCATTCACCATTACAATGGTCCTTGCAAGTTGTCAGAGCAGTTCCCTCAGTTGACCAGATAGTATGCACCTCTGGTATAGGAGTTGATCCCTGTGTGCCACGAGTGCTGGAGCAATTTGTATAATAGGGGTGCTGAGAGCCAGTGAACCAAACTGGAAACCCTGTATATAATGGAATCCACTTCAAGCCAGTGGGTGCAGCAACATCCCCAGTTCCAGCACCTATGCTGTGTGCCAGACAGATTCAGCCTTAGGATACTCAGAGTAGAGTGACCACGTTTTACTTGAAAATGGGGAATGCTCCTCTTCTAAGGAATTGTCCCTCAAACATTTCAGACACAAAAAACGTTTTGTTCAAAATTAACTCTAGGACCGGAAGAGGCTAATTTTCAAAGATGGGACACCAAAGGGCTATTGACCACTGGAGACTTATTCCAGGACACAATACTAATGAACTTTGAACAACTCATAATTAATCTACCTGCTCAGTTAGACATTTTCTAGATTCAGTTACTAAAAGAGAAACTCTACTCTTGGGGAGGAACTGATTAGAAAAAACATACATACAGTAGGACAGGTTAACCAAATAAGCTCCTATTTCTATAATAATAACTATATACCTCAAATTCTATAACCTAGACTCAAGATTTTAACATTCCTCTTAAAAATAATAGCAAGAAGTACTGTGAAGCATATCATTACTATGCATGTTACTATTTTCTTTCAATATTGAACAAGCATCTAGATCTATATTTTATATGTTAAATGTGATTTTCAATTATCCTCTCTCATACATTGTTTATGGAGCTGTCATCATGACAGAAGACTTACAGTGAGATGACATAGGTTCTATTCTAACATTACAGTTATTTAAAATATTTATAAGTTATATGGAAAACAGGGTGAATTGTAAGGTGACAACATTGGTATGCTAGTCAAAACTGGAGAAACTCCAAGCCAATGGTTCTCAAACTTTTTTACTGGTGACCGCTTTCACATAGCAAGCCTCTGAGTGCGACCCCCTTATACATTAAAAACATTTTTTATATATTTAACACCATTATAAATGCTGGATGCAAAGCAGGGTTTGGGGTGGAGGCTGACAGCTCATGACCCCCCATGTAATAACTCGTGACCCCCTGAGGGGTCCCGACCCCCAGTTTGAGAACCCCTGCTCTAAGCAACTTCAGAAAGACGTAACAAAGTAAATGGCCAGCTCAATGGCAGATGAATTTCCTTGTTGATAAATACAAGGTAATAGACATTGGAAGGAATTAACTCTATATCTGTGCCTATGTCCTGAATATTTTATATCAAATAACAGAAGTAAAAGGCACAAGTCTCCTTTTGCTTCCATTATGTGATATAAAATACTCGTTACCCATTGTAATTTTTTCTTTGTTGTTTGTCTTTAATGCAATAAAAATAAAATCAAATTAAAAACCCAGAATAATTACAATCCCCTTTTCTAAAATAACTTGACTTGCTTAAATACAAAACAATAACAAGGAAACAGTACAGGCCTTGATCCCTCAATTTGTTCTATACAGGCAGACCCCTACACCCATGTGAAGTGTTCTGTGTGTGTATACCTATAACGTTCCATATAGCCTTTTGCAGGATTTGGGTCATAATATCGTTTTATGGAAGAATAGGTTAATTTAGAACAGGAGTTACAACCAAAATTATTATATGAATGTGTGATTTTTCTTAAAGTACAGTAAAGCACTTGTGCTTTGGTAGATTTCTCTAGTGCTTTAAATTCTGATTGGAATTCTTCATGGGGGGTATAATTAGCACAACACTGTTTAATGTCATGCTTAATTATTTTCCAGAATGTTTTGATTAGAAAATTAATCTGCCTGTGTAGTGCAAATGATAGAGCTGTTTAAATGGGACCTTTTTAATTGCACAGTTGTAGAATGCAATAGTTGTACCAGTAGATCAGTTTCAGAGTA